CCCCAAAACCCCAAAACCCCAAAACCCCAAGTGCTTAAATCCCAATTGAGCCTATCAAAAATTACAAATTTTGCACTATGAACAAGACTTTTAGGTCAAACTAAAAAGCTACGTGAGTTCAGGAATATTCTGTATGGGCTGCTGCTTGGCCTTGTGTAATCTTTGGGCAGCTCTGTCGAACAGTTCAGACATGTTCTGGTCTAGAAGGGTTATAGGGGGTTACTGCTGGTCGTGGAGACTATTTTGATGCTTGATAGTTCAGAGTCGAGCTTGTAGACGCGCCTGGGAGTTTTGGGGTGGCGGGATGTAGGGTTTGGAGGGAAGGGATTAAGAGGAGAGTCTTGGATTTGATGTACTGGGTGAAGTCTTGAAGTATGGTTCTTCTTACCTCATTTTTGGCATAGGGAAACTAGCAAAGCGCCTATAGAGTCTCAGATGGGATGCTTACCTATCATTATGAAAGTAATGATCAATGAGTTTGAAAGGATTATGTAGCAGAATGTGTTTGTGATTGTGCTTGACCACTCATCTACTTTATCACAAGCAATCATTATAGATAACAAGCAGGTGTAAATGATTTCATTGATAATTTCAATCAAGTTGTTCTCTAGGCTATCAAAGGGTCTAAGGATGACAAGACTGATCACAAAGAATATCTGAACTATCATCATGCTAATTGTCAAATACACACATTCAAGCCATGTGAATGTCAGCAGCCATGTCACAAATATGGTTCTCCTCACTAAGCCCACAAAAGGATAGATCCTTGCATATTTGGTGTTCTTGAGCCCAGTAATAAACTCGTTGAGTTTGTAGTACTTGTCAGGGTCATGGAAATCTCTCTTTGAATAGAAGATATAGAAAGAAAGAACAATTGTTCCAACTCAGACAGCTAGTATCAATACTGAAAACACCATCGATATGATGTTGGGGATGCTTGCTAGCTCAAATTTGATCACTTCTGATATACAGCAGATGAGCAACAGCTGGAATCCTCCGAGTATGAGCCTGATATAGATTGTGAAGTTGAACAAGTCAATCACCAAAATCATCAGGTAGTTCAGACTACATTTCTTTTCGTTTCCGTAGTCTACTCACAGCTTCAGTGTCATCACTAAAGGATACAGAGTCAGCATCAAGAGCATACACAATGCAAACCCAAAATTGTTGAGCAGACTTGTGCTTGACTCAACTCCGATGGTTTCAAGGTAGGCATTGTCTTGATCGATCTTGAGCCAGTCCATGACTTCAGGCATCTTCGGCAAACTTCTGACTGGTAATACATCCAGATTAAACTGCATGAGTTCATTTCCAAGAATCAAAGCTTTGACATCACCTGGGAATGGAGTCTTAGTCAGCAATAATAGCAAAAATAGCTGAAGCTGGCTTACAATGGACCAGATGGCTGCCAGAGATGATAAGTTAAGCAGCGACACTCCTATTGTTGCACCAGCACTCACTCCTGAAACTGCCTGTGACCCAGATGACATTTGCTGGGCGCTTTCTGAAACTTAGAAGATTGCATATGAGTATCAGGTAGTGGGATTTTTAAGTTCGTAGGGATCTTCACATGTCTTTCATTTGTCATAGTCAGATGGATCTCATTCTTTACAATGCTCTATTACACACACCCTTCACACACTTGGGCCTATACAATATGGTATTCACTTGAAATGCCAACAAATGTTACCTGAGGAAGTCTGGTCTACACACATAGACTTGTCTTCAATAGTTCAGTTGGAACTACATCCATCTCCACTAAACAATGAGCTGAAACTTACTCTTCAAGGTTGCTGTCATCTCAAGCTTCTGAGTCAAGCCTAAGTCCATCACCACAAATAGGTTCTCAGACACTTGTAGCAAGGTTGATGGAAGTGCAGGTGTAACCTGTCTCTATCGCACAATTACTATCACATCCGTCACCATCATCAAGATTCCCGTCATCACATGAAGTAGTGAGGTCATCACTTGCAAGCAAGATACCATTTCCACATACTCTTGAGCACTGAGTTGCTGCTCCTTGACCAGTTCAGGCGAAGTCAGTTTCGAAGGTTCAGTCAAGAGCTCAGCCAATTTCCTGTAATAATGTTTCCATCATCACATTGTTCTGTGCTAGTCTGTATACCGTCTCCACACAAAGGTTCTCAGGTTTGATTATCTATTCCGTAACATTGATATCCTGGTTCTATGGCACAAGAATTACTACATCCATCTCCATTGATATTATTTCCATCATCTCAAGCCTCGCTGGGAGAGTAGAATCCATCTCCACAGATAGCAAGAAATCAAGAATTTGGGATACTGTCATCTCAACTATAAGAGTATCCTAGGAAGCAATTCTCATCACAATCAACATTATTACTACTGACGCTGTTGTCACCATTGTTTGCTCCATTATCTCACTCTTCAAGAGCTTGAGTCTGCTTGGTTCCGTCACCACATTTGAACCCATAGGCTATTGGTAATCATGGTACGGACTTACGGTTAAATATTTCTGGAGTTATCTCCACTGTGTAATCCAAAGTGTTGCTTATCTTAAAACTGTGGAGGATGAACTCCATTGATGAGCAATGAAAATCTCATCCGATGTAATAAGGTTGGTTTCCAATACCTAAGCCGTGGTTATTCCCAGGATTATGGCCTTTGAGGAACTGGTATTCGCTACTCCTGAGGTTTCCAGACTCCATGGTCATTGCGATTCTGTTCCATCCTCCTAAATTATGGGCTTAAAGCATGATCTTACTTTTGGCTGCAGTGCCACTCTTTGTAGCTCTGGATCCAAAGAGAGTATACAGGTACTGTGGGCCTATATTGGTCTATTAGACACATGCCAAATTTATATTACTTAAACTAACCTTCATCATTAACAAATTTGCTAATTTTTTAGAAGGGACAAGAATTTTCTTAATCTGTCCAGAACAAGGAATACATAATTAAATTACTTTTCTGCGATTAGCATAGCCTGTAGCAAATCATAAGACTCTTAAAAGGTTCGAGCTCATATTTTGCTGATAAGGTTGAATAGAAGTATTTCCAGATACTAAAAATTGGAGCTCTCAGTATTCGAAATAAGCGATCTCAAAGTACTTTTAATTATATTTCTAAGACTCAAATAATTATATCATTCCAGAAAATTCTGTAAAATTTATGTCAAAATTTCTGAGGAACGTAAAGATTTCTTTAACTTTTTGGACACAATATTGGGCAAAAAAGAGACTGGAGCCATCCATATGATTTGGAACACATAAATGTTGTGAAGATGTCCTAAACGATAAATTTTCAAACCCTCAATAATTGCTAGTGCTTGCATAAGCTCAATTAGAAATCTAAAGGAAATATCTGAGTTATTAGTACAAATTTTTAAGAATCTGATCAGTCCTTCAAAAGATTTGTGACCCTTTTAATTTTCAATGCAGCCTAGTAAGACACTGCAATAGTGTATAACTCTCAGCCTATTCTTACAGCGTTTTGAGATAAAGAGTCTCCAGTTTTATGAGAGTCTAAGAAGATCTGAGAATGGCAGTCTTTGGCTGCTCAGAGTTCACTAGAATTTTGTTCTAATGAATCTTCTAATTTAAAACTCGCTAAAATTTAGTCCATTTGGATGTTGTATACCAGCTGTTAAATTTAGGATTTTTTCCATTTAGCAGAAATCAACAGCGCATCATGCAATTTTAGAGACAATCTTGAAGAAATTTTGGGTTTAATTAGCAAGCCATTGATGTCTTGAACTACACTTTTCTTTAGCATAGATTTTAAGCTCCAAAACTCAACTAAAGTTGTCCAAGAAATAAAATTTAAAGATGAATCTGAGGACTTCTGAATGATTCTCAAATTTTCTAGAACTTACTTAAGAGGAACACAAATTTCGCACGCTGGATGACTGGACTTGAGCCTGCCTATAATTTGTTGAGGAGTCTTACCACAATTTGTGTGATATTCATATTGACAAAAGTGGCTGAGTTTAGCTTCCGAATGAAGACCCACGTCTCTATAGAACAGAAGTCCTCATATTCGAATAATGGCCCGTCAATATCCAAGTATCTGAAGATATTAACTGTGTAGCTTACTCTCCTCCCTGAGTGAAATGCACTCCTTGGTCAATTATCTTGGGATGAGTTGTCATATCAGCTAGACAAAGGTTTTAATTTCCCATTTAAAAGCTGAAGAAATAGAGAGCTAGGGCAGCATATATTATGATATACGAAAAGCTTGGTTTATTCATTTTAGCCTAGTTATAGAGTTTAAAGAGCAAATCTATAAAGATTGAAAGCAAAGAAACTATCCCAAGCAAGGGTATCCTTGATGGGAAAATGTACAGTAGCCAAAATCGACTAACTTTTTTTGTCAACTAAAAATCTCAGAGCAGCTTCATAAGTTGGAAAGACAATTTCTAGAAAATCTAGTACAAATTTAAGGATTTGAGCTTACAAAGGAAGTCAAATGTGAATACTCCTGCCTCTCCTTCTTGGTTCTTGACCTGGATAGTAGACTTGCTAGAGGGTTAGCACTAGGCTTACGATAATTCACTGAATTTGTAGGTCAGGGTTCTGCTAAGTTATGAAAGTGCAACTTACTTGCTCTGGAAACAGAAGCACATTTGGAGCAGTCATAATATCACTCCTGTCTGATAAAGGTATGTTTTTATCATCATCTATTTCTTGGTTAAATTATGATTCAATACTATCTCTGTAAAGGATACCTAATGTAACCCTAAACAGCTCTAGATATCATCTACAACTCTGAGCTTTACCCAGAACCTTAGAGTCCTCAGATGCAAACACTTGGTCAACCAAGGTGCCTAAGGTATGTTAAACTAAAGTAGGGTTGCAAACTTTTCAGGGCTACGTATAACACAGTACCTCTGAACTTAATCTATTGGTCCAAAATCTACTTGCTATGTGTTGGTATAGTTCAAGATTTGCAGCTGAAATATGGCTTTAAGAAGTAATTTCAGCTGGTTTTTGAACAACTGCTAGTCTCGATGACTCACAAATGTTTTGCTAGTAGAGATTAAGGCTAACGGCTAATGGCTGATTTAGCAATGAGAGCTTAAGCAGTCCAGGATTTTGGAACCTGTGCTTTTAAAATGGTATTTTATGTGGAATGAGTGCTTTGTTAGACACTTCTGAAGCAGATCTACCTTCGCTGATGGGATTATTTGTGAGAAAGTAAGCTAAATTTGGCCATTCTAAGGTTAAAGCTTTTGGTTTAGAAGGTAGAGGTAGTATCTGATTTGTAAATCTAAGCGTAGATTTCATATTTACCTTTCTTTTTATTATTTCAATGTTGTATCAAGTAGTGGGGTTTTGGGGTTTTGGGGTTTTGGGG